TAAAATGAACAGGCAGTTTCCACAGTCAGAGACTGTGACATTTTGTTCTGAACATCTATTCATGCTGACAAAAGAGTGACCTTTTCCGCCTGAATTGAGATAGGGGAGTAATTCTACTCGCCCAAGTGCTACTCAAAGTGGCCTTTGAATGGTTGCTCATCCACTTTAGATTGGATTTTGAAGCACCCTCAACGATCATGCCTTTTTTGAGCTTTAAACTGGGCCTTGCATTCATCTATTTAAAAAACTGAGACAATAGCCAAACCAATACTGAGCAAGACTTAGTCCCGTGACTGTCTTACTTCTTCCACTATACGAGGTCTTTAACCCCTCACCCTTACAGTGAAAGAATTCTCCTCTGGTACTTGGTTATAGAGGTACTGGATTTTGTGGTACATATACCTGCTCCATGCCAGCCAAAACAACTGAAGAGTGACTCAGGATTTAGGAGTGGAGGGAATGAGAAGCATGGATCATGTACCAAGCTTGTGTGGGATGATTAATGGATTAACTGTTTCTCTCTTTGAGCAGTAACCGTGGAGATTATTCACCAATATCATGCTGTTTCAGGTTACCTGTTATATATGTTACCAAATGCCTCAGGCCCCAGATAGACCTTGCTGATTCATTAGCAGCATGTGATACATGACAATTCATTGGAGAGAGTGTGAGGTGGGAGAGCCAGGACTTTAGAGAGACTACAGAATAATTAAGGAATATGTATTTCCCTTATCACCTTCCTCCTTTTCTCTCTCCTTTGTCTCATGTTTTTCTCTATTTCCTTTTCTTTTTTACAGTAGAGCATGAAGCATACTTTTATCTTGGTGAGATTTTAGAAACTGTTAGAGGAGGTTACTGGGTCTTTGGAAACTTTAGTAAACCTTAAACTAGACTATGATACTGTTGTGAGTTTAAGCAAATAAGTTGATCTCTTAGAGAACAGCACAACAGAAACTGTTTAGAAAAGTCATTTAAGCTAACACTTGGCATGGCAAAGATATCTGATATATCTGTTATGGAAGCTGAAGAGGTGTTAAAGTACAGGAGAATGCTTCTGTCTGCAAACCTGAGAGCAAAAGACAATTGCCCAGTCAATTTCAAAACTTTCTTTACTGCCTCGTTCATGTCAGGGGCTATATATGGATCCTCACTTACTCGATTGACTTAATTGCCCAGATCTGTGGATCCATGCCCAGTAGTCCCCTTTTTACATTCCTTTTGTCAATAACAGAGTGGCAGCCACTTGTTTCATTTTCAAAACCCAAAATTAGCTAAAGCAGAACACTTGTCCCATGCAGCTGCACTCATAAAAGAGCAATAAATTTAAATGTCTCTATAGTTCTGTATGTTTTAAATGAACGAAAGCCTCTGCAAGCAGCTTTTCCTGATGTTATCATAATTTCCCCCCGTTTCTTCTCACCATGACAACATTTGCTCATGATGTGACTATCGGCACATCCGCATTGGGTAACGAGTCAAATCCTCTAAGCAATCCAAGATCTATTTCTAGGCGAGGTCTTTTTGTCAAAATGGGGTTTATTTTTCATTCCATATTGTACAGTCATTATGAGGGATTTTTCACATTTCCCTTTATTTTAAATCTAAACTATAGATTTCAGAGCACTTTGCAAATCTGAGCTACTGATCACAGCACCCCTCTGAGATATGTAAGTACCATTTTGTAGGTGGCACGCCAAGACAAAGAGGTTGTATTTTTCTCTCTCACCGCAGAGCCAGTCTGCTGCTTTAGCTACTAGAAATACTCTATCACTGACAACAAGTCCTGCCCCAAAACATTAAAACTCCCACTGAATCTTCAAGGTTACTGCATAAGGTAGCCATAAATATCTGTGTATGCCAAGGACTTAATAAGGATGTGACTAGCCCATCTCCTGACATGTTCATTTTGCAGAGTACTGACAGTGTTGTGACACACAAGCCAGGCTGTTTGGTGTTATTGATCTACATCACCATAGCAAGAATCAGCATTTTTACTGATGCCCCACAAAACTGATACTGTTCTGTTTAGTCCTGTTGACCCATCATTTCCAAGGACAGTTCACTGAATGCCACCAACTTTCCTAATGGCGTTGTTTAGTGATAGACCAGGGTGCAGGGTTTGTTATATGTATTGCACACTGTCTAGCCAGCAACTAAATTGGTTGGAAATATTCTGATGGAATGTTTGGGATATTTTTGGTTGGAAAATGCTGATGTGTCCAAAGCAAAACAGCCGTCGACTGCATTGAAAATTCATTTACAAAACACAGACCTGAGCATTCTGATAAAACTGTAATGCAACATGCTGATTTTCCATTTCAAAATTACTTTTCATTTCAATTTTTAAACATTTTACATTTACAATAGAAAATAAAGTCAAAATCTAAATGAAACAGTTTGATCAAGCCAAATAAAATTTTACTTGTTTTTTGTTTTGCTTTGTTGTTTTCATTCCATTCTGAGATGTTTTTTTTTTTTTAAACAACAGAATTTACCACAAGACAGAAAATCTGGTTCCCAAATGGCTCTCCCAGCAACCCTCAAACAGGCCCAATCTCCTTCACCACAACATCCAGCGTATCCCGCAAGCAGCTACAGTAGATAGTTGAGTAGAGATGCAACAGACTAAGCAGTGCAACAGGACATAGAAAGGCCAATCACCCTGGCCTCTCTTCTGAGGTCACAAAGAGCCCTGGCTGCAGCAGGACTGTTGTGGTTCTGCTATATGGAAAGATGTGCATTATAATGGAGAGAGGCAGGGAGGGGAATTTATTTGAGGTCGGGCAGGAGGCTGAATCTCTCACTAGCCACAGAGTTCTGCATTGTGATGGCCTCACTGTGCATAGCCACAGAGAGGGTTTTGGATACAGGTAAAGACGGGGGCTCCATAATTACAGAAATTGTCTGGCTATGATCTACTGCAGGGGTCAGCAACCTTTCAGAAGTGCTGTGCCAAGTCTTCATTTATTCACTCTAATTTAAGGTTTCACGTGCCAGTAATACATTTTAACGTTTTTAGAAGGTCTCTTTCTGTACGTCTATAATATATAACTAAACTATTGTTGTATGTAAAGTAAATAAGGTTTTTAAAATGTTTAAGAAGCTTCATTTAAAATTAAATTAAAATGCAGAGCCCCCCGGACCGGTGGCCAGAACCCAGGCAGTGTGAGTGCCACTGAAAATCAGCTTGCGTGCTGCCTTTGGCACGCGTGCCATAGGTTGCCTACCCCTGATCTACTGTGTAAATGGGATTGCAATCTGAATACAAGCTACTGGAGCTCTGGGGTTGCAGTACAGGCCACAGAGTAATTTTATTACCACTCAGAGGCTTTGAAGATTGGGCTGAAGATTCCCTTCTGGGCACAGACCATGATAGTAATTAGCATCAGGCACAGCTTGGAAATGATATAAATAATTACATGCAAAAAAAGACCCCAAGCAACCCAGGTTAAAAAATGTTAAGGTTGCAAGGTCAAGCACTCTAATTTAGTAAATACCAGAATTAAGGTTGAAATGAAGATCACAGAAACAAGTAGGTTTTCATTCATATGTTCCCTCACTTGAGGAATATGGTTTGAAATGCTGTTATGACATATATTCATATCATGCTGGGAAGGGAAAGAACGTAATGAGTGACAATCATTGTATGGGAAGGGGCTATACAGAGCTTTCATCTCTCTCTCTCACACACACACACACACTCTTAAATTATGTGCCTACATTATTTTGTTATAAATCATTCATCCACGTTACTGCATTTTAACACCTTTTTTCACCTTTGACCAACATCATAGCAGAGCTGGATTTCTAGGGAATCACATTTAATGCTTCATTCAACACACCTCTAGCAAAAATTGAGCACAAGCTCATGTGCTCTCTCTGTGCTGTCTTCCTCACTTCTTCCAGATATCTAGTACTTCAGTTTCTCACCACAGAACTGTACTTGCAGCTAGAAAAATGAATATGAACTTCTTAACTAACCTGGATCCTAATTTTTTTTTTCCTGCAGAATATTAGGATGAAATCCTGCTGGCATTATTCACATGAGCAGTCTCACTGAAGTCAAAGATATTATTTGCAAGACTCAAGACATTAGGATTTGTCCAAAACATTGTACATGTTCTCATTGATGAGTTTTAGTTTAAGGGATAAAATATTCAAGATAGCGTGTGGGGAATTAGCCTTTGTCATTATCGTACCTACAGGACCAGAATGTGCATAATACTTCTTGATTAATTAACAACTTTGTGTTTTTTTCATTTTTCAAATCAGATGTAATATAAATGTAACTAAACATACATTTTGCAAGACTAAATAAAGGCGCAAATACACACAGACATTGTATCTAAAAATCCAGTGCCTCAGTTTCCCCATCTGTAAAATGGGATTAATGATAACTCCTTTGTGAGGTCTCTGAAGATGACCCATGGTGGTAGTGATTACATACATATTACATGTAATATAAAAACATATTGGGCTAGAGCCTCAGCAGATATAAATAGGTACAGCTCTATTTTGAGATCTATGGATGAAAAATGATATAAAAAATTTATATTTATTGTGGGCCAGATCCCAAGGTGCTGTTGAAGTCAATTTATATCAACCGAGGATCTCTCCTAATATGTTATATTATATGTAATCACTACCACGAGTCATATGCAGAGATTGAAACCTTGGACCTTCAGCACCAAAAGAACAGATTTCTACTGCTTGACCTACAAGAGTAACTCCATTAACTGAAAGCTATATTAGGCTCATCTTCTCGGTGAGCCAGCCACCAGAGAAGGGGCACATCACACTTAGTGAGTGTGTTACAACCTCCTCCTGTCAGGGGAAGCTCATCTCAAATGTTTAAGGTCCACAGGAATTCATATTCTCATGCAAGAGTCACTCTGTAAACACTTCTAAATGTAGGTTCAAATTTTGCCCTGGCATAATTGGGCATAACTCCAACTGAAGTCAAGCTGGAATACTATATATAATAATTTAAACCTACTCACCAAGGCCCAGGCATGAAACTCTTAGTCCAGATTTCCCAAGATTTCTAGAACAAACAAGAAAATGATTTGAAGAGAGTAGTATCAGATCCCATCGGAACACACAATATTTCAAGAAGGAAAATAGCAGATTGAGAATACTGATATCTAGTTTTGTTTAAACAAATTGCTTTCCAGCAGAAAGGCTATGTTCTCACCTCGAACATCAATTCATGCCCCCATAAAAATAAAACTAAATTCTTGGCTGGGATAATATTAGAAATGTGGTCATTTTGGAACGGGGAGTCTTCTGCCCAGGTGGATTTAGACTTGTTTGTAAAACAGCTTACCAGATGGATGATGAAGTGTGTGAAACTATTTTAACTTCCCACTACTGCTTTACATTGAAAGTTGTTTTTTTCCTATTCTATCCATGTTAGTGTTGCTGAAATGGAGCAAAAACAGTGGTTTGGTTAATGACAGCTGTACTGTGACCCCTAAAGCTCTCCCACGGTATCTTCTCTCTCTCAATTTAAAGATGGTACAAATTATAATTTAGAGCAGGTATTAGTTAACAAAGTTTAATATAACACTATGCCAAAAATTTTAAACTTGGGTGCCCTACAGATAGGTTCAAGTGAAAGTCAGAAGGAACTTTGGGGATAAGCTCGGGGTACAATCTCGGGTCTACTTTGTCTCTGTGGAAGATCATATAAGGCAGGTCCGCCATAAGGGCCCTGAGCTTACTCACCTTCTGGCCGAAGGTGATAGCCTGTTGTGGCCACCATGGTGCTATTAAGATCCCTGTTGCCTTATCCAACTTGATCTTTCAAAGCAGGGGTGGCCAACCTGAGCCTGAGAAGGAGCCAGAATTTACCAATGGACATTGCCAAAGAGCCACAGTAATACGTCAGCGGCCTCACCGATCAGCTACCCCTCCCCACCCCCACCGCACCCACCGGCAGCCCTGCCACTCAGCGCCTCCCCCTCCCTCCCCGCACCTCCCGATCAGCTGTTTCATGGTGTGCAGGCGGCTCGGGGGCGGGGGGGAGGAGCGAGGGCACGGCAGGCTCAGGGGAGGGGGCAGGGCCTGTGGCAGAATCAGGGGTTGACCAGTGAGCACCCCCTGGCACATTGGAAAGTTGGCGCCTGTAGCTCCAGCCCCAGAGTCGGTGCCTGTACAAGGAGCCGCATATTAACTTCTGAAGAGCCGCATGTGGCTCCGGAGCCACAGGTTGGCCACCCCTGTTTCAGAGGATGTGAAGCAGGAGGGGGATGGGAGGGAAGGCATACAGCAAGAGGTCTGACTATTGCACTAGGAAGTTGTGCCCCTGAGCATTTCAAAAGCAATAAGCAGGGCACTTCCCATTTCCTTGGGTTGCAAAGAGGTTCCAGAAGGGAAATCCCCACTGACAAAATATCCACTGGATCACTGATGAGTGGAGCTCCCACTCATAATCCCCATTATAACGCCTGTTGAGGCTGCCCGCTAGGGAGTTAATTACCCCTTGTAGGCGCACTGCAGAGAGGATTATCTGATGCTGGATGCACCACTTCCAGAGCTGGATCACTTCCCTGCGGTGTGGGGGCAGACCTCACTCTCCCCCTGTGTGTTTATATAATGAACAGTGGTCATACTGTCCAGCTTGACCTGGACATGAGTGGACCGCATGAAAGGCTGGAATCTCTTGCACACTTTGTGAGCTGTCCAAAGCTCGAGAATGGAAGGTGCTGGTGCTGGCTCTGGCCAACGAGGCAAAGACTGGAGGGAGGGTCCCAGATCAGACAGGTGCCTCATGGAGAGCTCCATTAGATGCCCATGCAGTCTAAACTCCAGAGACTGGCCAGTGTGAGGGGGGAAGGAGCAGTAGATCTCAAGTTTCAATGGAATGTGTGATTCCCTGACGCAATACAGGCAGCTTCCTCTGTGGATCACTCACCAGGAAGACCCAAGGGGAGGCCAGGCAGGACTGGAAGCCTAGGATCTGAAGCATTTTAAATGACCCAAATGGTGGGAGAGCAACAGGTGGGGACTCCCTCAATCCCCGCCAACTAGCTGTAAGCAAACTACTATCTACTAAAACGAATAAACTGATTACAATATGCTACGGGTAGAAGAGCTAAAGCTGGAAGCTACGGACACAAGAGTTCCATCCCAGACTGGGAGTGCTAGAAAGCAACATGAGGGGTGGTCAGTCCAGGCCACCCCTTCTGCCCTTGCTTGAGAGCACAAGGAGGCAAAGGGTGCGGGCACAGAGCAATGGACGCTGCTATTGAAAAAGTTCTGGTCCTGGGTACACAGAACACATATGTATCCACTGTAGGACCAGCACTCAAAGAAGAGCCACACTTTTCACAGTGATCACTAACTGTGTGTTCTTCAATTTCTGGGTGCCTGACTTGAGACCCTGCGGTCTCATTTGCAGAAGCAGTGAGCTCTCACAGCTGAAGTCAATGGGAGCTGTGCTTTGAATATATAAAGTGCTGTATAATGCTAAATACTCTCAAAAATCAGATCCTAAGTGTCTGTAATTGGACACCTAAAGTTAGTGGACACTTTTGATCTTAATCTCCATGCCTCGGCTCTGCATCTGTAAAATGGGGATAATACAACCCTCTCATCTACCAGGGATATTGTGAAAATAAATTAATTAATGATTGTAAAGCATAGAGCTGATTGAAAACTTTCTGAAAGAGTTTTCTGTGGGAAAATGCTGATTCAATAGCATTGATATCTTCCTCAGGATTTTTTCCGAAATGGAAAATATTTCATATAGAGAGAATTTCTGTTTTCAGACAGCTCTAGTGAAGCACTTCAGTATTATACTGATGAGCAGCACTGAAAAGCACATGAAGAAATTAATAATTCTGTATTCAGAATAGGGTTTGAATAGAGTGCAGTAAATAAGGCATTGGCCACACATTGAACAATGAGGAGAAAACAAAATAGTGAATAACTGCTCATTAAGGCTACATCTACACTTACGATGGCATATAGAGAACATATGCTACATGCCCCCCAAGCAGGGGTATAAATAGCAGTGTAGATGGTGAGGCACTGCTTAGGCGAGTAAAGACATGCCTGAACCCTGTAGGTATGTACCCTACATGGCTCTTTACATGCCCAAGCAGTGCCTTCTCCATCTACACTACTATTTTTAGCAGTGTAGCATTCGACTGCCTGCCCACTGCCGGAGCCTTTCCCTGCTCAGGCAGCGGGAGGCAGCAGGGAAAGATTCCAGCAGTAGGGAAAGGCTCTAATGGAGGGAGGTGGACGAGAAAGGGCTCTGGCAGCTTCTCCACTGCCTCCTCCCTGACAGTAGGGTGACCAGATGTCCCAATTTTATAGGGACAGTCCCGATTTTTGGGTCTTTTTCTTATATAGGCTCCTATTATCCCCCACCCCGTCCCGTTTTTTCACATTTTCTGTCTGGTCACCCTACCTGACAGAGCCTTTCACTGCCGCGTGTAGGTACACACTGTACCGTGGATGCAGCCTGCTTTTCCCTGGGCATGTAGCTACATGTATCCTACACACCACCACCAATGCAGACAAGACTTAAGTAAGCATAAACCATCCTGCGCACTGAATGAGGCAGGAGTCCTCCTGTGGGAAAAACAGTATGCGATCATGTAATTAAAGATTGTTAATGCATGCATACCAGAAGGTCGAATTAAAGTTTTGCAGGCAACCATAATTTTGGCATTTCCTAACTTCTGAGTTTGACTACCAACCTTAATCATGTTCTTTTAACACAGACATGTATATATAAATTACACATAAAAACCTGTGTCTATAATCACATAAGGAAATATGTATTAGTACATAAGAAACATTGTATTATTAAAATGATGACATGTCACATTGCTTAAGTCTGACAAATTGCACATCTAGTATCTCTAATCTTTCATACCCAGAACATCGTTTTGAGAAATTATATTTTGTAGTGGGAATAAAAATGGCTATATTTAGATCTGTGTAACATTTAATATTCTGTGTGATTCTGAATTACACATCCATGTTTCTTGTGATTTCAGTATCATTTAGTATTCATTGTAGTAACACTGATTAATGTATTTGCATTACTCATAACCGAGTGTCTTCATTTTTCATATTCACCTTCACACTTGTCAAAATATCCATATCCATAACAATTAAAGTAAACTACATGATCAATAGAGGATTGTGTCACAAGAAATCAAAACAAGTATACTTATTCAACTATCCAATAAAGCCCAGATTTTGAAGAGCAATGGAAGAGTGCAGTTTTATCTGTAGTAGGGTGTGGGTTTACACACAGTGAGATGACATACTAGAAAGACAATAACCTTAACAGGACTGTAGACAAGAAAATTATCTGTGAGGCCAAGAAATATGCCACATTAAACCCTTACCCTGATTTGAAACGATCAGCATAGCCCACAACACCCTTTTAATTATACCCTCCTGTGTTAATCTGTAAATTCTGAACTGTATCCATGGTTGTTGTTTTTTTGGTTGCCAAGGTTAAGGTATAATTTTGTTAACCATGTACCTATCTTTTACTCAAGAGCCCTTCAAGAGCTGAAGCCTTTGAACAATGACTGAGTTATGCAGCTGTTAGTGAGCTATTTAAAGTAAAACAGGCTGAACAGCCTCCTCACTTGCTTACGGCAAAGTTTAGTTTCTATGGGTCAAAGCCTCAAGTCTATACTCGGGCCCTGGTCACTGCTTTCTTCAGGAAACTCCATGTGTGTACAGCTATGCATGTGTGGGGGATCACCTCCAAATTATTTGACTGGGATTGCAGGCTTTGCTCTGTTGTAGAAGAAGCAAGAGGGTCAGCCCCACCCCAGACCCTCTACAAGACCCACATGGAATGAATGGTTGGCATGAGGAAGAGTGTTTGGAGTGAAGAGAAAAAGATAATGAGCATAAACACTATCAAAGCAGTTCTGTTGCTCAAGTGAATATTAGTGACACTTGTTCAGTGCTGGAAAAACTCCTGCACTTCAATAAAAATGCATGTGTCGCTGCTGAGAACTAACAGGAGTGACACCAGCACATGTCAAAAAATGGTACTGTCAT